TTCTTTCTCCCAAAATCACCTCCCCTCGGTTTACTTCCTTCCTCATGGAAACAACCTTGGAATACCACCAAGTGAAACACGATCCGCGAAAGTCTCCTTGCGCTTGAGGAGCACTTTTGTTCACACATACTCACATTTGAAATCTCATTCATCCACCATTCCGTTGCCCTTTCTTTTGACACCATCCCTAGGAGAGTGACACTCCCCTTTATTCATATACTATACATGCTAAAAGGTGATGTTTATAGGTTAGAAAACAACAAGAAAATTTGTCAAGCACATACCCAAGAGAAAATCCCTCTTAAATTAGCCAACTAAAGGTTTAGCTACTCGTAATAAAGGCAAGAACAAACATGAAAGAGAAAAACATGGTAATAAAATCAGACATGAACTTGCATTAATGTAAGAAAAAGTTTAAACTACAAAATAAATTGCATTCATACACAAAATGTAAAGCTTAAAGAGAAAATACCCAAATCCAAGCAATAGAACTAGTAAACCCTAGCTAAACTCAATACAACTTGAAATAAATGAGATTAATGTGCTAGACATAAATATTACATGTAGATTGAAGCTTAAAAGAATGAAAATGGTGAAGGAAAAGCAAAAACTCTGGTCTTCTCTCTCTACACTACTCTTAAGCTTAGGTAGCCTCCTTCTGTAACCTTACTTCCCTCAAAGAGAGATATATATATAGATCTAGTGGAAAGTGTGGGTTATTCTTGGTCAAATCCTAACTTTGACATAAGTTTGTTTTGATTTTTTTTAACTATAGTACCGGTACATAGTGATGAGGTACCGGTACCTCGATGGCAGTGAGCTTTAATGATAGCTCATACCAGTTTTTGTAGATTTGTCATAACTTTTGATTCCTCTGTCCAAGTGAGTTAAACTTTTGATACCAGATAAAGAACTTCTAGATCTACAACTTTAATGTTTTGCACTTTTTCATATTAGAAGTGGATCATGGTAAAAATGGGAAATACCGGGGTACTAGTACCAATATTCCAGTATGTTTAAGTACCGGTACCTATGATACTAGGTACCAGTACCTCCTTCATTTCTTTCACTGTTGAAGCCTCCAAATCCTCATATAATATGTCATTCTCTTCACCACTTATCTACACTTAGTTGTAGGGTTTTGAAAACTATCATTTACCCTATGATTACCTGCAACATCAAAATTTTCACATTATTCACAAATTTGACTAACTCTAAGTAATTAAATTCAAATTTGAGTCAAAGTTCATGTAATGAGGCAATTAAATATGCAATATAATGCGCTCATCACTNAATTTGACTAACTCTAAGTAATTAAATGCAAAGTTGAGTCAAAGTTCATGTAATGAGGCAATTAAATATGCAATATAATGCGCTCATCACTTCTGTAGAAGGGTTAGCACCAATATCTACATTGATTGCCCCTTGAACAACCCACTAAAAATGCCAAACATTAAATCATGTTAAATTACATCATTGTCTTACAAAATATCCAAACAATCATGATCCATGATCATAGACACTCCAGCATGGTGAATGCCAAGAAAGAAAGGAAATCAAGAAATAGACAAATAATGTAGATTTTACCTTCCTATCTACTTCCCATAGCATTCTATTTTCAAATTCCTTACAGGGGAATGAATCTAACATAAGCTCATCGCCTGAGATTCGATAATGGAATCATTTTAGCAAGACTCTCATGCCAACAAATACAGTCCAAATCAAAATAGCATGCAAAGGTGTTTACACCAAAATATGCCAAATTCGGAAGAAGACACATGACACGATCTAACGGCTAGACCTAGGTCAGAAGGGGTCTTGGATAATTCAATGGTTACCCAGAAAGTTCTCCAAGGATCTTGGGAGAGTAAAGAGCTATACTAGAACGTGGCTGCATGAAGACGTCATTGGCAAATGGTTAAGGATACATTGCAACCATTATAGAGAGAGGACCTAGAAGCACACTGAGTGGCTAGAGAGTATGGCCCCAACAATCAATATTAACCACTTACATATATAGAAAGGATGTGATAGAACAACTCTCTCTCTCTCTCTACAACATGAACAACCCAAGAAACGACATACCAAACTAGTTTTGCATTGCTCCATGTTTACGTTGTCCTTTCATTTTACTCTGTTTGTAATTTCTTCTCCATTCTGGTGATTTTGTTGCTCTGTTCCTTTTAGTACAGTATTCAATGAACTAGTTCTAGTTTTTTATGCCCATTATGGTTTTCCAGTTCCTTCTTATTTCTCTTTAATATTAATTTTTTCTTCAAAATAAAAATAAAAATTTAAGTCCTTAATCCTATGGCATAGAAAGAACTCAAAGGTAGACTTACGCTTGTTACATTCGCTTGAATAGTTACAATTTAGAACCTCACATCGATTCAAGTAGGTAAGGTCATATTGTTTGGAATTGTTAAGGCCATTTGAACTTTGACACGTCTGCAATAAGAAAATATGCCAAACATTGGTTTTGGTATGCTTAGTGGGATAGGTTTTTCACTCAGAGGTTTTTCTCAAGAGGTCTCTCAACAAGTTTCAAGTTTCATCAATGCATTGGAGTTTGATCACACCTAAAATGCATTGGAGTGATGCTTGAAACCATGAATAGGTAAGGAGTGACAATACAACACTATTTCTAGCGGTTACGCTAGTTGAAATGCGGCAACATGTGCCTCCGTCGTATTTACCACCTCCAAGACTTTCAACAAGAAATTAATGGCTCGTGGAGGAACAATACCCCCCTTTTAAGAGGGACAACCACCAATTGTTGCTCTCATGGCACTGTAGGTGATTATGAATAGAGACCAGTTAATGAGATTATCTAGGAGCATATTGGCCCCACAATGAGGCGGGTCACTAGGTCGACTTATTGGAAACCCTACCCCGATTGGGTGGATAAAGAACACAAATATCCTCATAGATTAAAGTACTAGTTTTTGCAACATTCTTAGGAGAAGACGATCAATCAATAGTTAAACATATTGAGCGTTTCACTATACAGTGTGGTGAGGCAGGTGCTAATGAGTTCCTAAAGCTGAGGTTATTTGCTAATTCATTAACTTGAAAAGCCTTTCGATGGTACATTGACTTGCTGCCAAATTTTGGATTGAGCTGGCAACAATTAGAAGACAAATTTCAAGCCTAATTCTAAAGAGCTGAGCCAGAAGTAGCCATGACTGACATAGCCAAATTATACTAGATGATAGGTGAGTCGGCTAAACAATATATAACACGGTTAAAAAAGGCAAGAAACAAATGTCGGCTAGCCTTGCTCACAATTAAGTATCTCTAGATTGCACAGAATGGGCTAGGATTCGAGTTGAGGAAGAAATTTGAATGCATAGAGTTCGGAGACTTGTTTGAATTAGCTATCAATCGAAGTGCTACAAGAAGATACTAAGGGAGAGCAAGGTTGCAAGGACATCTGCAAAGGAACTGTAAGAATCAATTGTACCCTTATTTGGAATTGATCATGCCTCACAATCAAACATATAGGGGTTAAGACTCTAAAAGCGGAGGGTGAATAGGTTTATTTTAATTCACTCAAACAAACACCAATTTATAACCTAATTATTCCATAATTAGCTCTTTTCAATTTAAGGAAATGATTAAAGTTGAGAACCATTTTTACGCAAGAACAACCCTATGAACTATGTAGTTTGATGTTATCGATTTTTTGATTTTAAGGTTAACACTCAATTTCACACGGTGATCCAATCCAAGTCAACAAGCAACCAACCAAACCACTATATATGACATGAATGGTCAAGTAATTAATACATCAAATACATAGTGTTTGTGTGTGCATCAAATTGCAAGTGTGTACAAAATTAACACTAAAGAACACAAATAATTTATTGGTGTGGAAACCTTGCTTGCGAAAATAGTGGTGAACCACTCGGTGTTTATCAAAGCCTAATCTA